AATTTTTTTTTCATTAAAAGCTTTACGGGCCTTTATGTGCCTTTTACATGCTCTTACCATGTTCCCTCCCTGTCTGCCAATGAAGGAAATGACATGTTGCGATAGCACAACAGCCTTCCACCTAATAAAGTTTGGTAGGTGAAAAGGGAGTGAGAAAGTAGGGAGAACTGGAGGAGAGAGCATGGAGTGGTGTAAAAACAGAGAATTGCTTTATGGCTTTGTGTTCATTGGGGCCATTTTAGAAAGGATCATATATTCCTGGAAGGCTGAAACAGACAGAAGAGTGCGGAAAGCAAAGGGAAGAAGGGTAAACCTCTATAAAACAGCTTGTTTTTCTCTCTCTTTACCACAAGACAGACTGGAGTGACTTGATTTGCAAATGTAAATGTCATTATATGCAGCGGCGTAACCATTTCAGAAATGTGTGTGCGTGTGTGTGTGTGTATGTGTGCGTTGCAAGAAAAGTTGCAAGAATTGAGTAATGCTGCACTTGCAACCAGCGGGACGTCCAGGGATGGTTGTCAGGCGCCGCAAGTGAGCATAAACTAAAGTGGGGCTGTCGAGACGGGCTGTGGTTAGGCTCAGGTAAATGCAAACCACTCAAACTGTCGAGCCACTCTACCTCCAACGCCACGAACAAATCTGGTGATCTGCATGATATTTTTAATCATTTTGTTTTTAGTTTGGTTCTTGAAAACATCTTCACATGAAAATGGCCAGTAGCACTAAAATGTTTGGGGTCCTGCCATGTGTGCATGTGTGGATTGTTGAAATGCCACTGCTGAGGAAATAACTTTATTCTTTGAAGCTTTATTATTAAATACATATCAAGAAAATGCTCCCGCCTGTACTTCTGCGGTAATGTTTTTGAAATAATTTTAAAAACAGGAAAATTGAGATAATTTGTTCATACATTTTTATCGGTTAGCTACATATCAAGAAAATGCTCCCGCCTGTACTTCTGCTGTAATGTTTCTGAAAAAATTTTAAAAACAGGAAAATTTAAATAATTTGTTCATAAATTTCTATCGGTTAGCAGCTCTAGAAATGTGATGTGGTAAAAAAAAAAAAAAATGGTTGCACCTAACTTTCATGCTGGTGAGACCGAGAAAGAGAGTTGGGTGCACCAATACAACCAGTACAATAAAAAAAAAAAAAAAGGTTGCATCTAACTTTCATGCTGGTGAGACCTAGAAAGAGAGTTGGGCGCACCAATACAACCAGTACATAAAATAAACCTTTCATGTGATAGTTTCTGGTAAATATATCGTTCTGAAAAAATGTGCTCTCATGACAGGCCTATCAATGGATGTAAATATTATAAATTACATTACGAAAATGAAATATATTTTATGAAGCCAGCGGGCTTCTCAAGCCCCAGGTTTCGCAAGTTTTCTGGGGGAAACCCTGAGGAGACATCATACACATCTACGAAATGGCATGGGAAAGAAGGACACATAGGTCACATGGTAATTGGTATAAATAAATAAACAAATAAATACATTGGCACGCAGGTAACCATATGGAATTCATTTACAAGTTTTTATCGTTATTTGCAATTTTTACCATATTTCTTAGCTTAATATTTGCCTCTTACCTCCACTGTTTGGCCATTCTGAAGTCGGATCAGACCTCTCTGTGGTCTGTGCAGTCTTAGTTGCCTGCTGGAAGCTGAGCCTTAAGACAAAGCCCTGTTTACACTAATGGCCCACTAGTCTTTTTTTCCCCTTTGCAGAAACAAATGCCAGTGGGAGGACATCAATAGAATTTAACAATTTGACATTTTTCCTCAAGCACTCAAAACCAATATTGACCCAGCACCCCTGCCTGGTCGGCTTTAGTGCAAGACCTTGGCATACAAATCAAGCTGGTGCAACCGAACCACAGGTTGCCAGTTGAAGGGTGAGGCCAACAATAGCCAGCCCAGGATGGGGCTGTCCCACTGGGTAGGCAGTGTAACCACTGTGTCTGGTTTCAAGCTGGTCCACAGAAGCTTGAGGTATAAAAGAGCCCATGCTCTCCCGCCCGCTTTAATGATTACATCTGAGAGAGCCAATTGTGTTTGGACTCGCGACCATGCTGCTGAGTGAGGTGGACAAGCACAAGGGACGGTGGGGGCCCTCACATGTGCAGAAAAACCACATAGCGGGCCACTACTTCTCAAAGACCGGATTACAATCAGTTAGAGCCTAATGAGTGGCAAGTTGGACTTGTAACCTGTTGCAGCAGGGTAGTTGTTTTGAATGCTCCCAGTCAGCGCACACATCAATAACCTCTGAAATAGCTCGCCACTGAAGCTGCAAACAGCGGGAAGTGGCTGAGTCTTGCTTATGTCGCCTTGCCACAGTCCGCTGTCGCGCCTCGGCTCTTGACAGGAATATAAAAGCATATTTCATACTCGGTTATGTGGATCTCGTTTATGTCTGGGGGAGTTCTTTGTGGCATTGTGGCTTACCAAGGCTAGGCACTAATTTGGTGAGCTAAAGAGCTCAACGGGACATCTAGTGGTGATTGCGCATTAAAACTTACTTCACTAACAGATGGTATTTTTTTTCTGTATTCCACGTCTGTATTTTCAAATTAATATGGAGCAGTGACTCTCTTGTCGTCATCTGACTTCGACTTGGTCACTCAAAAAGGCATGTGTGTGTTTTGTTTGAGGCCTACAAACACTCTCTATAGAAAGTAATGTGAATGTGAGTGAAAAATTCTCCGGATCAAAACTGTGTTACCCCAACTGATGGATGTTACATCCTCTTTTTGCTGTTTGGAAAGGACCATTGAGTGAAGATTCAGACATTTAACATTAGCCGCTATGCTAGCTACTGACTGCCTAGCTCCTCTTTGCTTATCATTTGTTGCAGGTCGAGTGCTTGACTGTTTTAACGATGTAAATTTCAGAAGTGACTGCCTTGACTTCCCCGTGTCTGTTTATGAAAAGAGGAGTAGCTACGGCACAAAGATGTAGAGCAGTAACATTGCCTGCTAGCTAAATAGTTGAGGACTGGCTAGCTGCTCTGTACTTGTCACTTATGATATGAAAGTAGTATTTTATTTTAACGGTTTAAACTTCATAAGTGGTTTTCTGACCTCCTGTTTCTGTCATTCCTTATTTTACCATTTAACCTATACGAACTCTACCCGGCAACAAGTGGCTTGAAACGTCATACTCGTCACTTATGTAATCATAAGGTAGAGGGTTTTATTGTTTTAACATCTTAGAATAATACATTAGTGGTTGAATTCTTTTACGCTTGTGTGACAGCTAAAAATGAGTTGTGTGAGGTTTTTCACATAAAAACACCAATAAGGGGCCCCCATAAAAAAACTTTCCTGAGCGGACTGTGTTGTTCTTTCAAGGTGCTTGTGTGTTAAAAAGGACGCTTTCTCCACCCACAGAAATGGCAGTCGGCGAGCACGTGTCGCAGCCCGGCAGGGGAGCTAGTCCTCAGGCCTCTTTCACCTGTGAGAGCCTCTCTGCAGTGCCTTGGCTCTTTACAATGTCCCCAGCAGGAGAGCAAAAAGAGAAGGTGAAGCAGCAGGAGCAAACGGAACACTCTGGCCCAAGGTGAGATTGGGAGGAAGCAGGATTGGTGGGGGCCAAGTGAGAGCAGAGGTCACTGCCCTGTGAGTGTAACTTGACCAAAACAGTGGTCAATAATGCTCTTATGGCGCTACCACTGCACACTGGTTAGGAATCACTTTTAGTATGCCGAACTTGGGAATTACTGTACATATGTTAGAAATTATCGTTTTAGGATGTTTTAAACATGCATTATGAACGCTCATCAGCACAATTTAAATGTCAAAAAAAAACAATACAAATAAGTCATATGGTTGGCAGAAACTCATTACAGGAAGAATAGATAGGAATTCTGACTCTCATGTCATCTCCTGAAAATTTTATGTGCTTAAATTCAAATGCATAACCGAAGGGTATGATCCAGAAGAGAATTTGACTAGCCTTATATTTCAGTATGTCATATAGTAAGATGAAATGTCAATATTCCAGTCTTCTGTCAGTATTCATCACATTAACAATACTGTATTCGGTTTTGTTCATTAGAAGTGAATAGCAAAATTATTGCTATGGTACAACGGGAGAACAGTGGAAAAACAAAATGATCAATAAATAAATAAATAAATACATGACAACAGAATCATTGATAATGGATTTTTTTCCTCATCTCTTACAGTTAGTTTTGTGGACCTTCAAAAAAACGTATTGGGATGTGTTGTTATCTTTATTGTTACCACACAAACACACACTCAAGCACGCACACACACACACACACACACACACACACACGCGCACACACACACACACAAACACACACTTTTACACAAGCTGTATGACAAAATGTAGCTAGTATCATGAAAGTCGGCAATTTAAGGGATTTACTTTACAGGTTACTGGAACTGCTATTCACCTCATTCAAAATAAAAACTGAAATGTAAAGTCTTTCATTGTTCATTTTTCACGTTATCCACACAGTCCTTCATATATTCTTCCACATTTAAGTGTACACACTGACCAGCTACAACACAATGCAAAACGTAAATGTGATCCAATGCAAGTTGTATCAAACAAAGGTAGAATATTTGCTCTAGTTTTACCATTGGATCTCATTAGAGGTGTGCCTCATAACGATGTGGCCAGTCAGTATGAGAGCTGCACTTTTCAAGGAGAGATAATATTAAAAAGACCTCCGGCATTTAAATCTCTCTCGCCGCATGCTCCCCACTTCATTTTGTGTTAGTTGTGGGAACTTGCTCCGGCCCCTAACTGATCATTGTAATATATGTTGCTGTTATGCAAGCAGTTGGGTACCAGCGCTCACCACTGTGCTGGTACCCTTTTAATCAAACAAAACCCACTGTGAAATCCTGACTCCCCACCTACCAAAAGCGAGCATTTCTCCTCAGCAACCCCCAAAGTGGCAGCTAGTATTTAGTAATATTGCACGGCCATGCGACAGCTTCTACTATAATGTACTCACCGATGGCGCTGGCCTCTGTGCCCTCTTCTCAAGTTATATTAGAGCACAGCAGGAGATCTGGGAGAGCTGTGGAGAAGGATGGAGGTTCTCAATACAATCTGGCATTTTCTCATGCTTTGAGAAGGGGGTCGACTTTCCAAGCATTCCATACTCTGTGCTGCCTCATTTAAATTATTTACTCAATATAGGGTCTGGGATGGCCCTGATGTCCCAGTTTCATCAGTTATAATATTTGAAGTCGCCATGGTGATCAAAATGTTCTTTTATTAGAGAGAAGGGAAATGTTATTAACAACATATCCCAGCTGCCGTGGGGTGAAAGGCAGGCACACACCGGAATGGACGCCGACCAATCACAGGATACACCGAAACAAAGATTCAGACAAACATTCACATTCAAACACGACATGCTGCACTTTCCATAGAGTCCAAATAGCACAATCGCTTGCACTTTTCACGAGTGCTAATTACATAAAAAAATATCTCTGTATGAAATACAGTACGTGGTGCTCCTCTTTTACATTGTCATTGCTGAAATTTGCACCAAAGTGAACCTAACATCTGCAAAAGAAGTCAAAAGGCAATGAGTGATGCTACCTCTTTACTGAAATCAACAAAAACAACATGGCTCCCCCACATGTATTGTAGTTTTTCCTGTTGCGTTTGCCAGGCATCTCTCCTGGTACATTTTCCACAATAAATTGCAGTTTTATTCATACTTTGGCTCGTCTTGCAACCTATACTCAGGGGCAAATTGTATATATTGGCAACCAAAATCCCTAGGGTGTGTTCGGAAATTCAATCTGATGCCCAAACACCATTCTGTGTGTGTGTGTGTGTGTGTGTGTGTGTGTGTGTGTGTGTGTGTGTGTGTGTGTGTGTGTGTGTGTGTGTGTGTGTGTGTGTGTGTGTGTGTCTGTGTTCGGAGAGGCAGAGTGTGCTCCCCTTGCATTAATTTCCAAACGCAACCTATGTTCAAAAAAACAATCAGGACCTCGTGTTGAACTCTTTCCATCTGTAATGCCTGACGCACTGGCTGCACCGTGTCCCCAGTTAGAGCGTGTAGAGCACCGGCACTCCTTTTTTTAAGGCACTCTGATTTATCGTAAGGCACATTTGAACAACGCCCTGAGTTTCCGAACAGTCTGAATGAAGCAATGCACACTTGGAGCATATTTCCAAACACACCGCTAATGGTGTTAATGGCAGCGAATCAGTTCAAGTTGGATTGCAAATTTCCGCTTCTAATTACAAAAAAGTTTTTGTTTTTTTTTTTTAATGGTACTAGTAACTAGAATGATGCAATTTCGCCACCCACATTCTCAAGCAGGTGGTTAAAAGCTGCAGTTTGGAATCCAACTGGAAATGGTTCGCTGCTGTCAACACGATTACGGAATGGAGATTTTGAGAGCCAGTCTGAGCTCTACTGTTCTTGGTCTCAGTTTTTGAAAAATAAATGTTCCCCCCAAAATGAAACTTCCTGAATAAATGTATACTTGGGATTAACTTCTATATGTTTTTTGCCTTCTTCATGAAAGCTTTTTTTTACTGGTGCAACATGTAAGGTACAATGTTTTAAAAGAATGTTTAAACCGAATAAAAATACTGAATAAATACATGAACCAAGCATAAAAGAAAGGGTTAAAAATTGTAATATTTTTGGGCTTGACTTTTGATTTTTGTTTTTGTTATGTATTGTGATTGATGATTTTGTTGAAGTATTTTGGTTTTGTAAAATAAAGGCATTGGCTTCATACGTTGCAGCTTCATCCCATGTTTTGGCTTCATTTTCCTGTGCAATTCTGTCTTTTTTTTTTTTAAGCTAACCGAATTTTTTAAAATAAATCAATCAATCAATCAATCTATATGTAGCAAAATGCAAAGAACAGCACTGGCATGCACTGCACTGCCTGACTATACTCATTCTGCCCATTCTCACGAACAGCCTCGATACAAGGGCTGATTATTTTTCTAAGTGAAAAGGTCGGAGCCCCGAGAGGTTTGGGGCAGTGACGACATCGGTAATGACGACCTCTGACCGTTTGCATTTTGTTGTGCCTCATTAAGCAAGCGTGAACACATCAAGCAAGGCTACTTAACAGCCTTTGTGTTATGGCAACCAACAAGTAAATAAGCTCCAACTTGCCTCTATTCTCTTCACTCTCTATTTGGCCTGTAGCATCACACAAGTGAAGAGTCTCTTTCCTGGAGTGCTGCACTCCCCCGAGAGCTAGACGACCACTCATCAGAGAGCGACCGTATTGTTGCATGAATGCTTTGGCGTCCGTGCAAATTCTTCCACACTCACAGTGGGCCCGCACTGACTGCGTGGTCGTGTTAATTTAGTTTCCTTTCAGTGTTTCTGGACCTCCACGGAAAAGGAGTTAAACCCATCTGTGTCAGCACAAGAAAGTCCCATTCAGCCCGATAGTGAAATGTCATTAACAAATGTGGCACCACAATCAACTAATCTGCCGTTTACCTCACCATTGAACGACTATTGTCTGTTCTTGATAAACCACTGCAGTGAGTATTTTAGAGAGAGACACGGCGGGTGTTCCACAATGAGCCACAAAGGCAAAGCTCGAAATTTGTCTTTCTTTCTTTTCGGCGCAAATCACTGACTTCATTTGAAAAGTAGTTTTCTAATTTTGTGGAGCAAAATTTTAATCCCAGCCACCTGAATCAGGGATTTTGTTAAAAAATAAAAATATGAAAATCTAAAAAATGAACAGTTGGGGGTTTTTTTGTTTGTTTGTTTGTTTTTATATAGCTAATCAACAATTTTATTGCAGCAATTCACATTGTGTGTAGCTCCAAATTTTCTAGTCTCAAAGCAAAGCTCAATTGAACATTTGGAAGATCTAACTAAGTAAGAGAACATTTCATGTGCAGACTTCTAAAGTCACAATTCAAATTCAGGACTCTATTGCAAAAACAAATAACATTATGTTATGAATATTTCAGAATATATTTATGTACTTTAAACCTTATACAATAGTCTGTTGCGCCTTGCTGACATAAACTGAATTTATTTCATTTCCGAATCAGTTTAGCTAGTATGATTTTCTTTTCAGAGTCCAGACACATAATATTTTGCCTGCTATTTTGCTCCCGATGCGCTCCTCTTTAACACTTTTTAAGACAGACTTCTGTGAGAAGTGTACTCAATCTTAGGTTAGCAATTAGCATGGTTTCTCCGTCTTTCCTCGTCATCCCTTTCATGAGGACAATACTTGGCAGAAGTGTAGCTTAGCATTGCAGAAGCAATTACTTGGGAGCGAGTCCGTGTTTCACTGTAGCGGTAGCTAGCTAAAGCTCATTGCTAGATAGCTGGCGTGGTATAAACCGCTTCAAATTTAAAGCTTGCCTGGCCCGCCTACTTCCCACACATAGGAAATGTAACAGGTGCGTATCCAGCCCAGCGAAGTTTTTTAGGACTGTCTTGGCAGTTGATTCTCTGTTTTGTTATTCAACATGTTTTGATGAGGTGCAAAATGCTAACGTTTGCCATGCAAAACCCCAATGCAAAATCCCTTATTTCAAGCCTTGCAAATGAGTTAAACAATGGTTGTCTTTTGGGTTCACAGAGATGCCTGCGCCCTCGTACAGTCATTCTGGCCAGCGATGATACAGACGACGCCTTCACCCACCAAATGGCTGAGTCACATCAAGAGGGCAACCAGGGCACAGCACAGGAAGGCAACCATTGAACAGACACTGAACTCTCAGCGTTAACAGACCGTTTGTGACAAAGTTAAGGCAGAGTGGGTCATATCTGGGAAATGATCTCATTGCAGATCCAATAAACCCCAGGCAAACACGAATGTGGCATGACAAAATCGTGTTGTTTCCGTGTACTTTTCTAGTCGGTTGGACAACCACTAAAAGCTCAAGAAATTAAGTGTACCAGCACATCCATTCAGAGATTGGATGAAAAATGTTTTTTCTTTTAGAAGAACTAAATAAATACATGTCTCAGAATGATGGAGTGTATATTCCTACGCTTGTGGGTGCCGCAATAATACATTATTTTTATTACCTCTCTGGCAAATTTCAAAGCTGAGCACTGCTTCTTAATAGCTTGGGTGAGTTTGTCTTGTCCACATGTGTGAAGATACCAGAATAATGTTTGCTGCAATTCAAAATACAAGTGCAGATTATTTTCATTTTGCCATTTCAATGTGTGGGCACTGGGGCCGTGCGCACGCGTATATGTGTGTGCATGTGTAAGTGTACGTGTGTGAAAAGGTGAATGACAGAGCCGCAACGTGATTGGCCAGAGCACTTCCTATTGATCGCCATTGTCCCTGATAACCCGGGTGACCCAGGCCCAAGGAAGGAAGCCTTCAGTTTGCGGCGGAGGAATTGTCACTCCTTTGTTTTGAGATAACTTATTAACCCGTCAAGTCCACTAAGAGAAGAATGATGTGTCTCATGGCTCACCGTATGTTTAACCCAGAGTAAACAGGAGTACGTCTGCATAGAAGAATGGCATTTTCAAGGAAGAAAGTTTCATGTCAACATACCTTGGTCAAAAAAAAGTACAACTTACTGAATGTTAGTGTCAATAGGAATTGGTCTTTAAGTCAGTTTACAAAAATGGGTGTAGCAAAGTTAGTGAAACACAAAATTGAAGACACTAACCAAACTATAATTTACCCAAATTGAAAGTACATTTTCATTTTTCATCAACAACTTGAGCTCGTTATAATTTGATGGAATCTATCCGTCGGGTTTGAAAGTAGCGGAATCATAAAGAAAACGAACATTTTGCAATATTACCTTTAATTTTCCAACAAGTCTCTCAGAAGGAATCAATGTATGTTTAGAAACTCTTTTAGAGGTGAAATAAATTTGTAATCATGTTCAAGTGTTTATCGCCAAATTAGAAATACATGCATTGACATCTGCATAGGCACCATCAAGTTATACGCACTGATCACACTTTGTGACCTTCCTAAAACAATGGCTCAAGTCATTTTCTCAGAAAACGCAAAAATTGGAGACAAATACTGATTACCGGTACATTATATTTATCAATAATTTCATTCCATCGGTAGAATTGGATGAGCTGTTTAACGAAGGCTGTAGAAGATTTTAGCAGAAGTGGCCAAGCATCATGAGAAGATCTTTTAAGTACAATATTTTTTGTCAAAATATGACTGAGGTCATGGTGGATGTCACTTTATTTCAAACATAAATATCACTTCAGTGTGCATCTAACCCTCTGAATCATTCCAGAAATCGGTTAATTGAACCAATTTTTATTATCATCAGCTTTCTTATATTTATTAAAACACCCCCCTGGGCCATGGAAGAGTTACGAATTATGAATCTGCTTTCACTGGCAAGGAAGTGAATTGGCTGTGTTCATTTATAACTGCGCCCATCTACGAAAATAACAACAGAAAGAGAACTCCACCCATGCGCACAGTTAGACTGCACTTTGCGCTAGACTTTCGCTGGGCACAAAAATTGGGCCCTGGGTGTGAGTGTAAATGGTTGCTTGTCTATGTGACCAATCCAAGGTATAGACAGTTTCTCACCTAAAGTCATCTTGCATCGTTTCCAGCTCCGCTGCAAGCAGGGGTGTAGTATAAGTGTGAGGCAGAGATGAATTAAATAGTTTTATCTTGTCGTTTCAGCCAACTTGTGAAGCTTCCCGGTCCTGCGAGGCAGAGAGGGTAAGTCAAGGGTCAGCGCGCACCTCGGGCTCAGGCGTATGACACCATGTCACGCTCCTGTAGGTCACGCTAGCGCGCCTTACAATCACTGCAACTGTTCTACTTCAAGGGAGGAAGCGGGGAAAATAGGCTGAATTGTTTTTACTGGTGTCAGGAGTCAGACCGCCTAAAGGCAGGAGACGGCAGGAGGAATCTCAAGTCGCCGTCTGCCGCGCTAAAAATACTCTGGCAGCATGCAACTAATGTGAAACGATGTGGTTGTGTGCCTGCATGACGAAGTGGAAGGAAGTCACGGAGGCCGACAGATCGGCTTCAGCGCGTGGTGTGCACGTGGTGCGTAAGACTCTCCCTGTGCCTGGATAAGTTTTCTCTGGGTTCTCCGGTTTCCTCCCACATTCCAGAAACATGTAACATAGGTTAATTGAACACTCTAAATTGTGATTGTGAGCACAAATGGTCGTTTGTCTGTGTGTGCAATTGGCTGGCGACGAGTTTAGGGTGTACCCTGCCTGCTGCCCAAAGTCAACTGGGATCGGCTCCAGCATGCCTGCAACTAAAGGGTAAAGCGGTTCAGATAATGGATGGACGGATGGATGAAATGTCATACAAATGAAAGCAAATGTTAAACAAAACTCTTTCATTTCTTTTGTAAGCAAATGCAAATCGCCGATAGAAGAAGATGCGGAAGGAAATAACACCTCGGTTGCCACATTGGGTGGGATCAGCCCTGTCAGTTGCATCGGACAAGAGGTGAGGTACACCCTTGACTGCTTGCTATGTCGCAGGGCATATATGAACAAACAATCATTCACATCTACAGACAATTTTGAGTTCTTAGGGTCACAGGGTCACAGTGAGAATAAGTGAGATCACCCAACTTTATCCATTAATAACATTCCCACGCTTAACGGTCTAACAATATGATTTATTTGCACCCACCGGATAAAATAAGCGTGAGGGTAAAGGAGGGTAAAAAACTTATGGCATGCCTAGAACGAAGGCATCAGTCAAGAATAGTTATCCAATATATACACCAGATGTGGGCTAACTGCAGCTTAAAGTCCACATACACTGTACGATCCACACCAGTCTTTCTTCTGGCCCATAAAGGAGTTACATGATGAAAAGTCCTGTTATCCATCCATCAATCCGTTCTTTGTTCCTCACCTCACTCGGGTCTAGGTCATGCTTGAGCATATCACATCTGACGGGCTACTGGTGGTTGGGGACGACTCTGCTAACCAGTTGCTGTTATTTAATCATTTTCTGTCAGTGTTAATCTAATTCAATAATTGGCTAGTTAAATAAAAAATCGAAACACTCGTAAAATAAAAATACACATACATTTAATTAAACTCCATTTGTTATTTTCATTTTAAAAAATTATTTGGCATAAAAGGTTTTAAATAACTTCAGCCTTTTTCAACAGAGACAGTTACCAGCCAAATGACAAGTCACATAAGTGTCAGCTTTTGTTAAATTGTTAATTATTATCATTTTATATTTGAACATTACAGTATTGTCTTTGATTTTCAAGTTACCTAAATTACATTCTCTTTGATAATTTCTTAAACATGTTTATGTTGAGAGCGTCTGATTGGCTGAAGCAAACAGGAAGTGTTTTAGTACCGGAAGAAGGGGCTGTGCTCTTGAATGAGCTGCGGTGCTGACGTCTTTTTTTTTTCTTGTCAATAAAACTGCATTCAAAGGATTCCATCTCTTCTTTTGCCGTTCCTAAAGTACAGCTATCCACTAAAAACAATGAACCCCTCAATTTACATAAGCGAGCATACACACTCACATTCACACCTGTGGACAATTAAGAGTCTGAACCTACCTTGGATGTTTTCGAAACGTGGGAGGACTCGAAGGCCGGAGTACCTCAAGAAGATTACTCATCCCAGAACTGTGCCTGGCGCGTCTGCTCTGCTGCCGTTTCGAAAATCAGGCCCGCTTCAATTTGATCTCAAACAATGGTCGTGAGGCGCCATCAAGTGGTTTACGGGGAGCACTGCGCTGCAGACTTTTAATCTAACATTGAATTAATTTAATCCGTAAAACGACCGGTAGAGTCGGAATTATAAACTCTCACGTTTTTCACGATGTGTCTGTCCGTCCAGATTAATTGTTGAGGGAGTTTAACTCGAAGATGTCCTTCGGTTGTGTTGTCAAGGTCGGTTGAGCGCTCGACAAAGATGCTATTGTCAATGTACACCTGATCCGATCTCACCATTGTCAAGGGGCCCGCAGCCACATTCGTCGGCAGACCTGTTTAAACTGTTAAGAGGAACTAATGATCAGGAGTAATCAGCCAAGTGGCACCATCGAGATAATACAAATGGACTAATTTCTTACGAATGTTCAATGACATGTGAAGTCTATATTATCTGTAACACGTATTATGTTCCTTGCCATTGTATCATTACAGCTACATCAAGATTTTAACATATAGAACATTCAAATTCAACAGTAGGCCGTAATATGATGTCCTGCACATCAAAGATATCTTGGTCAAATATTGCGCCTTTACTATTCATCCTCAATTTTGATAGATTCTCACATCAGAGTATTTCATATTAGTGTAGATATGAATGAAAATAGAACTGTTAAATCGAATATGATTTCATTAAAACACTATTAGGGTCTATTCAGGGTTTTGTTTTTTGTTTTTTTTTTACTCTTCACTCTTCACTCTGCCTCACCTGCCCACCATGATCGCACGTCCCTGAGTATGTTGCAGTGTTGCTCTACACTTCTGCAAACTACAACCTCAATAATGTACTTTTGTGATAGTGTCAATCAAATGGAGTTTAAATAGCTTGTAAAGGCATGCACATAATTCTTCTGTTGTACAGCCATTTATTTAAACATGTATCTAATTACATGTTAAATGAGTTCAAGTGAAGACACTTGAATAAGAATTCATCCCCATAAAGCTATAAGCTGTGTATTATTTGTACATCACTAACAGTATCTATTTGTTCTCTGGAGATCACCCCAAAAAAATGATGCTTGCATGGATGAAAACATCGGTGTCACTGTGCTGGTTGGTCCTGAATGTGTCTGTTTACTGGTCACTGTTTAATAAAAGCTGAATTGCTGCACCTGACGTGGTAGACAATTAGGGGCGCATATTCTGGGACATTATAGCTTGAGCAGACTGCAATCTTAAATCCAAGAAATGGCTTATAAGAACCTAATCCTGTTGATGGAGACAGAAGCCCACGCGCGTTAAAACGGCTGCCTGCCCCAGGTGCTGTGGCCACATAAGCCTGTGCTTGTCTCCCTTTACTACAATTGGAGAATCGAGTGGCCGCTCTTGGGCACTGAGCCCAGTGTGGCTTGCCTAATTAGCAGCTCTGTTTTCTCATAAATATCTATGGTCATGGCAATTAGGTGAAATAAACGTTGTTGTTGCAGTCCATGAAAGTGTTCGGTAGTGTGACACTTGATAGGAAAAAAACAAAAATGTCAAAATGTATGAATGACGTTGAGGTCATTTATTTTCTTAAGTGCGACATCAGAATGTTCGATTGTATATGTGGTTGACATTTCATGTGATTTTTGAACAAAGCAAACAAACAAAAACAATATTTAATAAATCCCCATTTTGATGTAGCACTTATTTCTAATAATCACTTAAAATCACCAATCAGCACAGTTAAAGAAAACAGATTGGGATACATTTATCATTGCAAATTGTCCATCAAATTCAGTGCAGATTATTACAAAATTTGATTATGACTGACCCAAGGCAACCGTGTTGAATCAACACATGCTGCTGCAATTAAGGTGCATTAGGCACCAACTAAATACAGTTGAGCAGTTAATGAGATCAGAACAAGGATAGGTTATCTCTGTATCTTTTAGTGTCTGTGACAATACGACAGCAAGGATGGGCTCCGTCGTCACATTGTTCTCACTGATAACTGTAAACAAAGGCTCAGCCACCCCCATTGAGAAACAGACCTAGCTAATGGTACATTTCACAAGAGACGAGAAACCAAGATCTTGCTTTTAGCGTGCCAGATGGGATTTAACTGACAACGACATAGTCATACCCCACTCGGTGAACAAAAGTTGAGACAACTTGAAAATAATTTGTAATGATTGAAAATTTTCATATTAGGGACAGTCAGAAACACCCCCCCCCCAGTATTCCTAGCAAGAAATACAGAGTGGTAATCAAATATGAAAAACGTTATTCGATAGAAAAAAATGTATTTTTGTTTAGTTAAATCCAGGAAATCACTGAACTGCCGCACAAGAGAGAGGGACAAACACGGAAGGCACCTTTCAGTGGAGTATTCTCATTAAAAAAAAGTGATGATTTGAATCTATAAAAAGCGATTAACTCCTGACTTCTAATTACATGGGTCATTCACAGTGCAGCCTTCAAAAGCCATAGTTGAAGTAGTACGCCTGAAGTTCGAGTTCCAATTTTTAAGTGAAACGTGTGCCTGCCTGGGTGCAAACGACGCAAATCACATGTTGCACTTTTTGCTCAACCCCTCGACACTCACCCCCAGCCTCACCTTGACTCCCACTTCCACTCACAACACGCTAGTGGATTAGCATCCAGCCTTGCTCCGTTATGTCACACCCGTGACCTGTCAAGTGACTGACAACACAGCAACCATGACTCATCGTGGAGTGACGTGACTGGTAAGAAGCTGGTAGTAGGTTCCTGCAGACTGTTTGTGATAATACCACACCACTATAAACATTGTGGGATAAACGCAACGTCAGAAACAACACAAATGCTGAACAACAACTAAAGCTGCTTCCTAGATTGGTGTTTTTTTTTTTTTTTAAAGTTGCGAAATGTTACTTGAAATAGACCCTATGTGGCTCTGTTGGAGACGCAGGCTAGACGTGCATTACGTGATCAGAAGCATTGCTCTATATTTATCAAATCATGAGGCTTGTAGTGACGCGTGCAAAAAGGACGCCCCCCTCAAGAAATACAATATGGTGCCGTACAAACTGCAGACCTGCGGACCTTCAGAACCCCCGAGCGATCCAAGCGAGTCTGGTAAGAAGCATGCACACTTGACGTGAAATACTAATTGATAAGCTGTACTTTATTTACTTGAACTTTGTCTGACCAGCCTAGTCCAAATGACAAAACACTAATTTTATTGTCTCTCTTTATTTTTGCGGATGCATCGCTCTCCATATTGCATTATTTGAACTAGTTTTTGCTACAAGAGTGGAAAAGATCATTCTCTCTCTCTCTAACAAGCGGTACAGAAATGGATGGATGGATATATTGCCAAGTTGTGTTTTCGTTGCCATCGACGTAGATAGATAATTCTACAGGATGTCTAGATACATGGCAAAAAAAAAAAACACATAGTTCTTAAAACAAAAGAATTGTATTCAATTGTAATGTTGATTTAAAAAAAAATGTTTTTTATTATTTTCAAGGCCTAATCTGATGCACTTGATGGTAGAGATTTTCATTGCCGTCGATTTCAGCACATTGACTGGGCATGCGTTCTCTCATGTGGTTTGAATCTGTTGTCTTTATTTGTTTAATTTATAATGATTTATCATCACCCAGAAAAGTATTCAAGGGGAGAGAGGTCTGATGAACGAGAAATTTACTGAAATTTAAATGTACACAGGCTTTATGGACACCCTGTATTTGGAAAAATACTTTTACAACTTCTAAAAATCATGGTTCAAATGCCACTGTTAACTGTCATTCTACTGTCTTTTAATGTCTGTAAGTATTTATGTTTATAGTGAATTTTTTCACTTTAAATTTCTTTTTAGGTTGCATCGAGTCTCCCACGTTTAAATGGAGGACTTGGAGTTCAGTGTGGAGATCTGCGACAGTGATTGGCAACACTTTTTTGAGATGTGCGAGGAGTGTGACTTGCATCCTCCCTCGCTGGCGACAGCAGACGACTCTGGGCTGAGCGATTGTGATCACACAAAGTCCACGCTAGCAGAAAGTGCCCAGGAAGTCTATCTGACCAGACGTTACTCCCTGGACGCCATATCCAACTGCAAGGACTTGGTCGTGGAGACCCAACTTGGTGAACAAGCCGCCGGTGAAATGGAGAGCATCCTGTCGGGCAGCGAGGAAGATATTCACCTGCAGTCGGTGAATATGTTCTTTGAAAGGATGGCAAACCAGGCAAACGTTGGAAAAAGCAAAGGGTCAAAACAGGAGGATGGACTGTGCAGCAATGGGATGGAACCCAGCTCAAAGCTGCCTGCCGGAGATGAAACAATCGTTCTCGAGGAGAACGACCTTGACAAAATGAACACCTTTAAAAAAGCCCAGCCTTCTTCTTATACTTTACATGACCTCCCAGCCTGCAGTGCACCGCTCAAGAACGACAGGTCAACTCATACCGAGTCATTTATCAGCATCCAGACTGAAACTAAAACAAATGAGACTAATCCTCACAAATCTGATGACTCATTCAACCTTCATAATTCACAACGGGGCAGAGTCAGCACAAAAGAAGCCCATGGCCCACCATCATCAGCAATGGCCACCATGAAAAGGAGGAGGAGGAAGAAGAGATGCCACGGCATAGAGTCAACCCAAAGTAGACATGAGAGGAGCAATGATGAGGAGCAGAGTTTGTTTCGATTTTATCGCGATTTAAAGCCGTTGTATTCAAATGAGCCGCAAAAGACTGACGCGTTAGTCACAACCATGGTCCCGTGTGGAGGTACATGTCATCGCGAAAGCAGGTTCAGTTGTAGGGATAGCGAACGCAATGACGAATTAATGTGTCTCCAGTGCTTTCATCATCCAGATTGTGAAGATCAATTCAATCTGGAAGTCAGAAGACTAAAAGTCCAAGCAACCAGTGAGGGAGCAGACTGGGATGATGGGGATGATATGGATGGTGTCCAAGGTGACACCCTATCTGCTGCTAAGTCCGTCCACGCTGCAGAGGCTTTACATTCTGGCAGAGACAAGGGGACGGGGTGTCAAAGACAGGCTGAGACCCAGCAACAGTTGGAGATGGAAGCTGACAATTTAGACCAAAATAGCCATGAATTTATGTTCACATCTCATGCGCAGAAGTCGACCTTTCCCAACACAGAACTCCAGAAGTGCGAAATCACTGTGTCTTCAGTAGACGAGACGGTAAGCGAAGTGACCTGCGCTGAATTAACAGCCAA